CCCCCCCCATATCTGCACTTCAACCATTATGCTGTTTATCAAATTATTTGTGTGGTTGAGAGTCGTTACATTTGCATGGATAGAATCCATAACCTAGTATTGGTCAACGAATTGTTTGGTAAAATGGTAGAATCATATTGTAGATAATGTGACCACCTCATGTAAAAGTTTTGAGCTATTAGAAGAGGACACTTTTATTTAAATGATTATTTTAACACCCTCTCACATGTGAGCTCTGATTCTTTTTCTTGTGTCGAGCATCTAGAGATACTTTTTTTGATAATGCGTGGTTGTGAGGCTTGAACTCAGGACCTTTGCTTGAACTGTTACCATGTTTAATTGTGTGACTACCACTTAAGCTGTCAGAGAGGAGATACTTTTATTTATTCAATGATATCTTGACACATCTAATGTGTTCAAACATTCTAATTCCAACTTGATTTTTAGTAGTACTAAAAATCAAGTCTAATTTACTTTTTTCTTTTTTCCATTTCAACGTGTAACTTATTATTGTGTGTTCCTTGAAATCGCCTTGTTGATTTTGTTTGACTGGCATCTTTTCTGTGTCTTGCATAGGTTGAGCATGTATTAAATGATCGATTACTGCATTTGGCCACCATTGATATTCAAGATGTAAAGGTACACTCACTACTCTCACTTGTAATCCTTTATGTAGAGCAAGTTTTTGCAGATCTAGGAAATCTAGTCTTTTGGGTAGTCCAAATGTCTCTATTACTTATGAAGCACATGAACTAGGATGTTTTCATTGCACATTGGCCAGTGGTGTAAGTACCTTTCCTTATTTTATAAATATATGTTTTGCATCTTCCTGGATGCGGACAGAAAGAAGCATCCAAAGAACAATAAAGGGATGAACAAAAATTGGTCGTTCAAAATACTTTGTAGATGATCTGACTTGTAAGCTAATCAAACTTGCATAAACTTAATAATCAGCAGTATGAATGCCTGTAGAACCTGTCCTGCTGGGCTAAAGCGTATGGTTGTTCACATTATTATATGTTCTATTTTTTCTTGTGTAACAAGAAAAATGAGAGGAGGAAAAAGAATAGAGTTAGGATTATCTTGAAAATAAGCTTTGAATATAGGCATATGTGGGGATGGTGTTTTGACCTCCGTTGTCGTGACCTGACCAATGGTTGGTTGGTTGGGTAAGTGACAAAACTGGAGTCGTTATGATAGGCTGAGCTTCTCATGACACACTGAATAATCACTGGCATACGGTACTCGTGCATAGAAATCCAATAGTCTAAGCATCGCCTAAAGCTTCCACCAGGCTAAACCAAATGCAAATCAAAATCATTGGCAAGCTCTTCCAGCTAGTACTTCTTAGCTGGGTTCAAATTTTTGAGTTAATAGATTTAAGTGATGAAGAAGCTGGTTTATTCGATTTAATAGAGAGACGCAGAAACCGGTAAAAAGAATAAGATTAGACAAGGATTCCTTGATGTGTGCGGGAAACGTGCATGTAAAAGCAACTGAAGGGGCTGGCTCGATTTTGCAGAAGTTGGCGAAGGAATGTGCAATAATGCACTCATGCCAGGAAACCCAGTAGGTAACATCATTAAAGCTACTATCAGGCTTCAAGCCTTAAACAAAATTTGGGAAAGGAAAAGATAAAATTGTCTGTTAGCTTTTTGGGCACTACTCTTACACATCCTGATTCCTGTGTCTTGGCAGCAAGAGCAGACACTTTAAGAACAGAAAAGCTTACCTGATCAAAGTAGGAAGCCCTTTTGCTTTCTATTCGATAGCTACCAGAGCTTCATTCTTTCTAGGGTGCCGAAATTTTCTTTCATAGATTGAGAAATGAATTATTGCGTGTGTGAGTTTTAAACAACAAAACTAAGTGTAGTATTTGTAATTTAGTTCCTAAATGTTAAATCTTTATTTTCAAAAGATTACACTTGATGCTCATCGATTTTGTTTTGAAAATTTTACAAATTGATACCCAGGAAAAGAAAAATGAGATAATTAAACTGGAGCACATAGAAAAAGAACTAAGGAGTTAAAATTAGAAAATTAAAATTATTTTTTTGGTTATAAAAATATTAGAAGAAGGCAGTGTTTTTGTGTTTGTTTTTCTAGAGTTTAATGCCCATTATTCTTTCTAGACAACTAGCTGGAACTCTACAATGTTCTTAGCTTTTCGGGGTTTCTTTAACAGATTTACAAAGAATATCAACTAACTGGTTTCAACAAATAGATAGTTTCCGCTCCACTAAAGATATTACATACCCTTTTTTGGTTAATGAAGAAGGGGAAGGGGAGATGATGCTGCATTGACTGGTGATCATCTTGCTCGCCTAATGATTTAGGTGGTTTAGTTTTTGACCTGTTCAATACTTAACCCATATCTGACCTCACAAAACTCAATATAGGCCACCGAATTGTCCAACCAACCTTACACCTCAGTTATCCAAATCTATGTACATCTCTCTCTTCTTGCTAGTTCTACCACTCGTAGTTATATTCTTAAAGATCTATACACATGCTTTTGATGTTATGTGAAATTTCATTACTTTCAGGAAGCTCGGAAGCGTTTTGACAAAGCTAACGTTGCTTATGACCAGGTGGATACTACATTTCTTTAGTAAAAATCTTTTATCTGTCGCGTGTTGAGCTGCAGATTCTTGGATGCCCATTCAAATTGAAAAATACACACACTTGTAATGGAGTGACTCTGTTGAAATAGCACCTAATTATTCTCTATTTTTTTGGTACTTTCTCTTTTGAATTGCCAGACTCAACTAGAACTTCTAAATACCATTTTCAAAAGGGTAGAGGAGGCAGTGATTAATAAAATACCAACTGAAAAAGCGGGAATTATTAGTATTAGACACTTGAAAGTAAGATAGTTATTTACCTAATATGCTAATAATTGATATCGTCTTTGTTTGCCAACGGCTGCTTTTTTCTGTTCTTTTATTGGTTAGTAATCCTAAATCCTATCTGTATTTTTAGTGACAACCTTGATTTTTGGAATTTGATGCCCCGGTCAGGAGGTGTGAGAGGTTGACCATGGCGGGCTTGAGGAAGGGCAGGGGTAGGCCAAAGAAGTATTTGGGAGAGGTGATTAGGCAGGACATGTCAGCGATAAGAAGGTGTGGAGGTGGTGGGTTGATAGGTAGTTGTGAGTTTCTCCTAGGTTTACCAGTAGTACTAGTACTTGTCTTGTATTCTTAGTTCTTTATTACTTGTTATGTTACTCGCTTCCATTACTTCTTATATTACTGTTGTTATTGCTTGTTGCTTTATTTTTACCGTTCCTTAAGCCGAGGGTCTATCGGAAACAACCTCTCTGCCTTTATAGGCTAGGGGTAAGGATGTGTACACACTACCCTCCCCAGACCCCACGTATGGGATTAAGCTGGGTTTGTTGTTGTTTTGATCAAAGTTTGTGTGTGTTGTGTCATTTTGGGCTTTTGCTCTTTGTTGGAAAAGATTTTCCGGTTTGTCTTTGACATATATTCCTACTTTGTCAAAATTTTAAGTAACAGATTTGGATAGTAATACGTTAATCTTTATAGAATGGTTTAACAATGACGACTCCTAAACACCAAACTAAGTTGGTTGGCTATATGAATCATCAATATAAATTTGCTACTTTTGGACCAATTTCTACAATCCTTTTGGAGTTACAATTTGAAGAAAAGAGTATTTGGGTATCTACTTCTCGAAACTGAGGCCTACTGGGTACAAGATTTTTATAACCTTGGTAACAGATCTAACACAGGATGGCGTTTCCATGTCTTTTAAACCTTTCATTTGTTGAGTTGTAACCCTCTGAAAAGAAGTTGAAACAAAACATGATGGTACTTGGTTCTTTAATTTGATGTACTGTAAAATGATTGCTTTTATCATCCAGGTTCGAGAGAAGTTTTTATCGTTGAGGAAAAGTACTAGGATGGATATAGCTGCAGCCATTGAGGAGGTAACAAACATTGATTCTTCTTAAAATCCATGAACACTTTTTAGGTTATTAATTGGTCAGGTAGTTTCTATAGGTAACCATTGTCTGTCAATATCTAATTTGATAGAGTCATTCCAGGAACTTTACAATGCAAGGCTGACTTTTGAGCAAGCCCGCTTTAATCTGGTGTGCACAATTCTTTGGCTGTTGGTATCTAATAGTGATGCAGTAAATAGCAATATAATTTAATTTTTGGAATATTTCATAAGTTCAGGTCGGTGCTCTTTCTGCGGTTGAGGCCAAAAAGAAGAATGAATTGTTGGAAGCTGTTGGCAGTATGATGGACACTCATCTTCGGTATTTCAAGCAGGTCTTTTTCCTTTTTCTTTTTGAGACAGGTTTAAAATGGTGAAATCTTACACTTGTTAATATTAAAGAGTACATCATTGCTGAACTGAGATGTTATTTGATGCACAGGGTTATGAACTTTTGCATCAAATGGAGCCTTATATCAACCAGGTTATGTTCCGATGCTAGTTATGAAGCAACTTTTTTCTGAATATTTCTTCTTTTTCCATGAAGCCTTCCTACTTGCTTGCTGAAATGTTGATAATAGTCTACCTTCATGAATTGAATTTTTGGGTTCATTTTGTGAAACTAAATCTTTTATTTTCAATTGCAATTTAAATGACATATTTTTTTTCCAATTTTTTTTTTTGGCATTTCTAATTCTTTTTATTACAGTTATAAATTTGATCTATATCATATATATCTCTTTTTTTAATTCTGTATTTATTTCAACTTCTATATATTCTGCCACATGCATAATGGGTTTTTTATGAAGAAATATTATAATTATATGCTGAAGACACATCATTGATGACATAAGGATTGGAATGGGCATGTTTTATTGATTGAAGCCTCACTATTAGCGTATACCTTATTTGTACAATTGTACCTTAGTAGGAATCTAAGTCTGAGAGAAATTTGAAGGTTAAGATAAATCTTTATAAGATTTAGCACTGTATATGTTGTCATTTTCTCTCAACAAAATTAAAATGATAAGAGAACTTTATATGTTTGATTTTGTATGTATTTAACACCATACATGGCAAATTCGCATGCATGTGTAGTTTGCGTTTAGATCTTTCATGACTTTCCAACTGCGTATTAAAGTGGATCCATTTATCTGTGCATCTGCTATTACAGTGTACTTATGTAGCATGTCGTGGAATCTTACCTCAGTGATATACTACTAATTTTCATTGCATGCTTAAGGCATCTTTTAATTATTTTTATTATGTTTTCTGAGGTTTTGGGGTCTGTGGTTCTGTTACAGGTCTTGGCTTATTCACAGAAAGCTCGAGAAAGTTCCATGTATGAGCAGGCAGCTCTCAATGAGAGGATGCAAGAGTACAGAAGGAAAATAGATCAAGAGAGGAGACGTTCGTTCAATGGGTCTCCAAATGGTGATGTCATACAACCTTTTTCCAGGAGTTCTCACAAACTTATAGAAGCAGTCATGCAGTCTGCAGCTGAAGGAAAGGTATGTAGTACGATATCCTACATTTTGCTACAATTATTTGCCAATAACATTCTCTTACTGCTTACCATGTCCAGGTCCAGTTATTCCTTTTTAAAAAAATATTACCTTTCATTTCTTTAGCTAAGATTTCAATAGTTTAGGTACAAACTATAAAACAAGGATACCTGTCAAAACGTTCTTCTAATTTAAGAGGTGACTGGAAGAGAAGATTCTTTGTTCTAGATAGCAGAGGAATGCTGTACTACTATCGAAAACAATTGAGCAGACCGTCTGTAAGTCATCGAATTAAATATTTGTCGCAAGTTCTTCTAGCTACTATATTTGCCTGTTCAAATGTGGAGGATGCAGTTTCAGGGTTCTGGCAGTCCACTCCTTTCACACAGATGTTCTTCCCCAGAACCGGGATCAGGACTGCTGAGTCGTTGGCTTTCTTCTCATTATCATGGAGGTGTACATGAGGAAAAAACTGTTGCACGTCACACGGTGAACCTACTGACATCAACAATAAAAGCGGATGCAGATCAGTCTGATCTGAGATTTTGCTTCAGAATAATTTCACCAACAAAGAATTATACTTTGCAGGTATAAGCCTGGGCATCATCCTGATAATTCTTTTCAGTAGCAAGGGCTGTGGTGAGAGAACGAGCTTTCAACATAGACGTCTAATTAACAATAACCTTTTAGTAAAAATATTATCTTTTGGCTATTTAGGCAGAGAGTGCAGCGGAGCAAATGGACTGGATAGAAAAAATAACAGGAGTTATTAGTTCGTTGCTAAGTTCCCATACACTTGAAAGGGTAAACTACAAAATAAGTATATAAGTCTTCCTTTCCTTCTTTGTTGTTGTTATCTAATGATATGATTTTTGGTTGTCAGCATTTCTCTGCTAGTCCCACTAGCGAAAGTAGTTCTATAGGAAGTCCCATTGATCATGATCAAAGAGCAACGGAAGAGTACACATCTGGGAGGGATCTTACTGGTAGATCTTTCATACGCCCATCCAAAAGTTCAGTGCATATTCTCAGCACGAAAATAGAGAAACCAGTTGAAGCACTAAAAAGGATACTTGGGAATGATAAATGTGCTGATTGCGGTGCTCCTGGACCAGAATGGGCTTCTTTAAATCTTGGAATTCTTATATGCATTGAATGTTCTGGTGTTCACCGGAACTTTGGTGTACATATATCCAAGGCAAGTCAAATTAGTTACATATTGCACCTAAGTTTCATTCTGTATGCATAATAAGAAACTTAACCTTCTTAAACCTCTCTCATTCCATGTGGAAATAAAAAGGCCTGGTGTCAAGTTAACCATGCATATCATGTGTAATTGTCTGTTAGAGTTTTTACAAGTCTGTGTATACTCCTTCTGTGGCAAAATTGAAAGAGAACCATTCCAAAAGAAGAAACAAAATTAGAGCTTTTGCAGGTATGAAGGATCAAGAAAAAGAATATACCTCATCCTTAATTGCCCAATTTCTTGATTCCAGATTGGGAACTCTTTTTTGCTGCTGAAAATTTTGAAGTACCTAGATACATGAAAGCTAAGTTGCTCGGACACGGGTGCGGGTGTCCGACATGGGTGCGAATCTAGAGGTCGGATCCTTCGAGATGTAAATTCTAAGATTCGGGGATACGGATCCTAATACGGATATGGGTGCGGGGATCCGGCTAAAAATAATTCAAAATAATTAAAATATTTCTAAATTATGAGAAATTTTGTGGATTACTTACGTATAGCTTGTAAAGTGTGGATTTCCTTTTTATTTTCAAGTTATAGATAAGTAAATAATTGATTATTTTATTCAAATTTACCTTAGTTTTGATTCTGATTTTGGGAATCAAATTGTATCTCGTCTCGAATTTTTCTGTCCGTCGTGGTCAAAGTACCCAAAATTGTTTGACCAGATCCGGTACGGATCCCATACCCACACCCATACTAGTGTCGTGTCGACATGGGTGCGGCACCTAAATTGCCGTGTCGGAGCAACTTAGCATGAAAGGATAGGTGAGGAGTGAGCTTTCAGTGACAGTTGAAATACTAAATAAAATTCGATCTTATTGTGTTTAAAATTCTGAGGGTTGTACTTGATTATTCCCAACCTAGTTATCGTTTTATAATCATTTCTTCATTTAATACCTTTTTATATCTTATTCATTTATTTTCTCCAAAGTTACACTTGTCAAAAGAAGAAAGTTTGGACCATTTCATTCCTCCAGTTTCTTTGTCTTAGTTGTATTTAGCGCAAATTAAGTTATGATATAAATGGCATAACGTATGTATAGAAATATGAATATCAGTAAACCAGGGTAAGTGAAAGTGAGAAAAAAAAGACCTTAACTGCATTTTATGTTAACTTTCTGCAGCATTTCCGAAGGAAAAGGCCATAAAATGAGACAAGAAAGCATGTTGCTGAATTACAATGCGGTCCTCTGTCCATTTTCCCTTTTCTTGTTTAGATTGGGAGTAGTTTAGTCCTTCGTTAAGCACTTAACTTGCTTAAAAGATAATAGTTTAAAGAGCTTTGACAGATGATCATGCAAAAGATGAAGTTTTCTTTTCTGAAGTTATCTTAGAACTCAATCTCAACTTTGAATGTAGGTAAGATCTTTGAAACTTGATGTTAAAGTGTGGGAGCCTTCAGTCATAACGCTGTTTGAGGCACTGGGTAATGTGTTCGTGAATTCTATTTGGGAGGAGCTGTTGCATGCAAGAAAAACGTTTCAGGCTGATGAAATACCAATGCGGTAAGAATTGAAATTTGAGCATAATTAAATGGTTTTTGTCATAGTTCATAATTGAGAAGCCCAATATTTTATGCTGTAGGTTTTTTGAGTCTGAAAAACACAAACAGTTCTTTGGCAAACCCAGTTATGCGGATCATATTTCAGTAAAGGAGAAATTCATTCATGCAAAGGTACTTCTCCAAATAGTTAAGCTGTTTTCTTTGCCATCTCTTCAAGGGGCTGGCATGTCTTGTAGTTCTCATTCGCTATTAAAGTTGACATCATCACCAGCTTCCACTTGGTTAACCCCTTAATGTGTCCAGGTTGGTGGACATTGCAAGTTATGCCTAAGAGTGACCGTATAGTTAATCTAGTTTCCTTTCTCTGGTATTATCTCCCAGCTCAAAGCTCATAGAATAGCTCATGAAGGCCTTCTGCTATATGGCAGCCACACCAGATCAGTGGTCTAGGACATTGCACATTCTTCTATGTAATATGAATGTCAAATATATTCTCTCAGATATGTTCTCCTAATTTCTTACATTTTTTTTCAAGAACTTTTGGACACTCTTCAATTGGACTCCAAAAAGAAACCAAATGTGTATGCAACTGTTCCAAAATGCCATAGTTTTGGTGTTATTTCAAAGCACAAAACATAACTTATGTGATACCACTAAAGTTACTAAAACTACGCTTGCACTTTATGTTAGAACACGACATAATCCTGAAGACTAAAGAAGAAGAAAAACCATCCTAGGCAATACATATATTGAAACTCTTTTATTCCAGATTAAATTGAGACTCTTCTTTCTTTTGTAATCTTGGCATTTTTCGTTATTTAATTTTTTTGGGAACATCGAAAGATCTTTGTTATTTAAATATCTGGTGATCATGCATGTTATGACTATAAAATTGATGAAGTAAGTTATCTACAACTATCAACATCTTTTATTGGTATATAATATACCGTGTACAAAATTACAAATAAAGTTGAAAGGTTTGATGGAATGAGGTCGTATCCCTCTATGTTTCAAAATGTTTTACTGTAAGACTCTGTTTCGTACCCGACACTGGAATCCATGTGTATGTTACACAGACATTATGCATATGTGAGTAATCTAGTACAGTTTAAACGCCTTGCCCATCTCAAGCTCTCAGCACAGTCTATAGAGGCCTTCTATGGCATTGTTGTGTGAATATATATTAGTGGTGGTGCTTCCAGTATGTGCAACTAGTCTGTATGTGGTTACTGAAAGAAATCTTTCTAAATAATTCACATCTCTATAGCTTGTCTGGTTAAATGCGGTTTAATGTATGCTTGCTACGTCTGATTCTGATTGCAGTATGCAGAAAAACGTTTCATTCACAAGGTGAGGGACACTACACACCTTCTTTCAGTTGCAGAACAGTTGTGGGAAGGTGTCCGTGCAAATGACAAGAAAGCTGTATATCGTCTCATTGTTGTCTACCAAGCCGATGTTAATGCAGTCCATGGGGAAGCATCACCTGGTAAGTCTCAAAATCTAGATACTTGGTCAGATTCAAACAAAACCTGATTATAACATCTTTTTTTAGGCAGTGATTGTTCAAGCTCATTTAACCCACAAAGTGAAAATGAAGAGCATTGCATTGATGAATTTCTTGATGGTTGTTCCCTACTTCACCTAGCTTGCCAAACTGCTGATATTAGCATGGTGGAGCTGCTTCTGCAGCATGGTGCCAACATAAATGCTTGTGATTCACGAGGTCAGACCCCACTGCATCATAGTGTTATGAGAGGAAGAACTGCAATTGCCAAACTGTTACTTGCGAGGTAATTCTTTGTTTTTAAGCTCACTGGTTATCCATTTTTCTGTTCCCTGCATGAAGTGTGCTTGTTTCTCTATACAAACCAATGTCTGGACAATCACAAAAGTTTCTATGGAGGTAGAGGTTAACAGCATGTGCCGGAACATTCTATAAATTTGTATCTGTTGAAGTCATTGGGAGTCCACAGCTATTCTGCTGTCATTCAGAATATTTATATCTCGCATATGCCAAGGGAATGCTTTATTGGGTAACTCCATCTATCTCATGGGTGGTCCGTGGTCGGACTTCTGATCCCAACTTAAGTTTAGTTCATGAAGCTGCCTCTGTGAGAATTAGTTACAACTGAGAACCGTAACCTTCACTTGATACATCATGTGAAGTATCTCAATACAAAATTTTATGCTTTTTTATTCAATATGTGTGTGCGCGTGCATGCGTGCTTAAGTGTTTGCTTCGTTTAGCTTTTAGTGGTTTAAACATCACTCTGAAATGGGGTAACTTGGTAAATGACATTCAAATATTCATGTCTTAGTTTCTTGATGGATATGATTAAACGCTTAGGCAGAACTTATATGAGGTTGGCTCGACTTATTTGGGTCACATACTAAATAGCACAATCTTTAGGCAGTTCCAAGTTGGGGAAAGATCGAAATTTATATTCTTCATCTTTCCTGCCAAGGATACTCTTACACTCGTGATATATATGCTCTCTCGTCTCTTTCTTATTCTTTTTACCTCTATTTTTTTGTCGCTCTTCTTTACTTCTCCCCTTTCTCATTTCTTCCCCTTCTCCTTCCTCCACCTCTTTTTGGTACTACATTAGACTTGCACGTCCAACTTTTTGGTGAGTGATACTCGGCTCAAATATGAGAGGAGATTTACATGTTTTTGGATCAAATGAACTTAGTTCTGATTATGTTTGAACCATCAGACTAATGATCAAGATCATCATGTCCTGTGGAATCCACTACAGCTGTATCATTTGTATATTCAATATCAATCTTGTTTGACCAATAGGATTTCTTTTGAACAGGGGGGCCAACCCACACGTTGCTGATCTTGAAGGCAAGACCCCGTCTCACCTTGTCTCAGAATTAGCCATCAACGACGTTGAGATTCTTGCCCACCTGAAAGTTGCAAATAGATAGCAGCAGCACAAAGGTTTCTCAGAGATAAGAGTTTCCACGTCCCACAAAGCGATGCTTTGCCTTCAAAGCGACGAAGGTTTTAAGTTATCCCGGAAAGCAGCTTGCTCAGTCCAGGTCTTTATTCTGCCAAAGGAGGTTTTATTATGTGCAGACCTCAGAGAATGAAAGAGAGTATTTATCTCTTTGGGTTGGCGAAGTTGAGCCAAAAGATTATATAACACAGAGGGCTAAGTTACAATGGATAGTTGGTTTGCTGCTTCGTGCATGCCTTTCTTCCAAAAACCTTGATTTCAGAATGAAATATGAATTTGTAGAGCTCATTCTTCAAGCTGCTTGGTACGCGTTGCTCATTGTTTGTTTTTTAGCCCTTTAAATTCTTCTCCTTGATTCTTTACACAACTTCCAAAATTAGGAAGTAGAGTCATTGTACATAGTACATTATACTAAATTAGATTGAGGTGCTTTATTTACCAATCTAATTATCTGAACTTTGTTAGAACTAGGAGTAGCTGCTTCATTTAGGAGCTGAAGAAACTAAAGGGGTGAATTGCTTTCTTGTTCTTAAGAGCAGAAGTGTCAAAGTTTAGCCTTGGCTTATTACTGACGTTAATCAATTATTAATATTTGTTCTCGTACCTAGTGTAAAGTATCCGGTGATTTCTTTTTTCTTATTCCTTTTTATCTTCTATATTCCTGGTGTTTTTTTTTCTGTTGTTGAGGTCAATTATTTCAGTGGCTTCGTTTTGAAGGAGAAAATAAAAAAATTAAAAAAATTATCAGTTTCTCGGTGCAATATATAAATTTAAGTTACTGATTTACTTGTTTGATATGCTAAAATTTAGGATACAGAGAAGGAACAGTATCTTGTGTTTTTGTACCGAAAGCGACTGGAAAATGAAATATTCGGCGTAACAATCAGAATTTTTTATATAAGGTAAAAGTTAATCAGACTTCTGTAGTTTACTTGTAGAACTTGATATTGATCTTAATGGTCTGTGATTAGCAAATAAGAAATACACCCATGGCAACAAAATTATCGGTAACTGCTTGCTATGAGTAAGTAACATCTTGAACTTTCAGTTAAAGAGTATAATAGAGGACGTGTATAATGAATGATGCAGCAATGGCCAAAGGATATCAACTTATTAATTATGAATGAATCATCAGCGATTTGCAAAGGCTCAACTGGGCAAACGTTCATCAAAATATTTTGTTCCTTTTCCAGTGACTAAGTGCGAATTTTGTACAATAAATCATTAAAGCCTTATAAAACATTTAATAATCAGCTAGTGAGTCAAGGATCTGCAGCAATCAGATAATGAGCTAGCAAGTATTCTTTTTGATATTACTAGCCTTTATACAGTAAACAGTAGGCATATTACTTCAGTTACTTCAATGTGCATACCATTGATAGGGGACGACATAAGCAGAGGGACCATCGAACAGAAGAATAATGTAGCAAGTTCCTTTGCTCTCTTTTGATATAACAAGTTCCAAGGAAAGAACTACACTTATCTTCATACATAAACCGCAGTGGTACAAATCGTTTGCTCCTTTAAATGGAAACAGCCTATATCAGATAACATGAGCATAAGGCAGACCAAACAAATGAATGAACCTTCTTTGAGTTCCACCATTTGCAGGCAAATAACTTCTGCTGAAACTTCATCATTTGTTAGTACACCTGATTTTAGATACCACAAAATAAATAGTAGTCTCACCTCTCTAACCACAATCTGGTTGCACAGTAAGAACAAAAATATGAACCCGCTAACTCTGCCAACAAAAAGGTAATAGAAAGAAAGAAAATAAGATGTCATGAATAAGGCCGATCAACTTCAAAGAGAAATTATTCATCGAGCTAGTATTATCCCTAAATAACCTCAAGGTCTTTGAATATCAATGTTCTTATAACTCAAGTGTTTGGCGAGCAGGGCCAGATAAGAAAATGCTGAGACATCAAAAGACACAGTACATGACAAAGCAGACGAGCCATCTTCTTTTTCTTACAATAAATAAGCAAGAATTTTATCAACATTCAAAACCCACATTAAGAAAATACTGGGTTACATACAGAAATTTTGTATATATAAATACAATCACTGCCCTAATCCAGAAGTGAGTGTACATAGCAGATGAGTTATCTTCATTCTAATGCGACAAATATAAGAAGGAACATTTCTTGCGTAGAGTTAATATCATTAAAGCATGAAGACGGTTTCACCGACAGATTGTTGTGATCCTATATCATGAGGCAAATGGAACATAGATGATAATATCTATTAAATTCCAACAGCATCTATGGGTTTTCAGATTATTTCAAGTCATGTTCATTTCTTCAGTTTTACCTAAAAGGACCGTAACACGACATATCAATCACATAGGTCCTGTCAACATAAACTTGGAAGGTGGAAGAAGTAGAACAGACAACTTTGACTAAATTTTCAAAAATGAAAAAGTGTAAAGTATCTGCTAGTAGAAAGCTAGTACTGGTAATAGCTCTGACCATTGTCCTGAGTAGGATAATTGCTCCAATTTCATTGGAAGGTCAGTGTCTAGAAGAAGGAGCTCAGGCAATATATACCATAAAATAATGGTGCAGCAGTGGACCAAATCACCTGAAAATAACACTTAATCAGCAAAATGACATCAATTTTCCACATTAGAGTAAGATTTATTTAAAGACACAAGAAACTGAATTCACAAGACAGGTTTTTATCTTAATTAGGTGCATTATGACTAAGCCTTGATTTTTCTTTTCTCACATAAAAATTAAACAGGAGATACCGAAGGGAAGCACAAGAAAATTCACTTCACTAAGCTTAGAAATTTGTGACTGAAGGAACCTTTCTTGTGTGTGTTCTACTTTTTCATTCTAATTTGTTCAGGTCTTGATTCAATAAGAAGGGATCTCAATCCAATTAGTTGTATCCTAGAACTAAGGACACCTCACTGAAATATCAGCACTTCTTAGTAAGCTAGCTTCAAGCATGTATTCCATAACTTATATGAGATCAGAGAAAAAAGGTCATAATCCCATAAAACAGAAAAGACAGGCTATATATGCAACCACAAAATAACATAAAGCTTTTTTTCAGCAACAGGGGAATGAGCTATTGCTTGCAAACAGAACAAAAATATATTCAAGCAGTGTCTGACCTCCATGCAAAACTTATAGAAAGACCCAAAGAGAAAGCACTAAACCACATTAACAAAACAAAGAAAACAAAGGTCTGATTTCACATATCCAGTTTCAACTCCATGCATGATTTCTGCAGCACATTCAATTTCAACTTCATGCATGATTTCTGCAGCACATTCAATTTCAATTTCATGCATTCACAGGGAAAAAAATAAGTACAAGAAAAACTGAACAGGATTCACGATATACAGGAAGTTTTTTCCCCCCATCTTTTCCTGAAAGGAGATTCATTTAGTTAATCAAAGTCAGATTACCTCTACTGTGATCAGGATGCTTTCAACTTTGATGTGGGTGCTTCGCCATCGGCATCCATAGTCAGGAACTGCAGAAAGAACAGAACAATCCAGCATAAAGTATTCTTGTTGAGCTAGGCTTGAAGAGCAACTTCAAAGGCTGATTGCTTTGGAGGGTTGCTAACACTTTCAGTATGCCCATCCATTTGACAACGCGTGATTAAGTCATTTGAAGTCAAGGAATTAGAGATCCAGGAAAACTTTACCATGGTCTCCAGAGCCATTGGTAATTTTTCAGAATATCCTGCTTTATCTAATCCTTGGGCTAAAGTACTGCACATAGCAAGACTAGGTACAAAACCTTGCTCTCCTATTTCATTAAGTGATGCCAATAGTGCAGAAATTTCTCCCTTCTCACACCAAGACTGCACTAATGTTTCACTTACATGTCCTTTCAAAAGACCTTTATCCAAAAGTTCATTCCAAAGACTGAAGGCTTTATGTAGATTCCCTTTTCTGTAAAGTGCATCAACCATCAAGCTGTAGACTACTTCATCAGGCTCAATACCCCTAGCCACCATCTCCTCAAATAGTGAAAACACTTTCAATTTGTCACCTAATCTGTGATAACCTTGTATGAGTGAAGTGTATGTCACAATGGTTGGTATCAGTTTCCTCTCTTGCATCTGTTGGAAAAGATCCTCTGCTTCTTTCATAACTCCATTCTTGCAACAGTAATCTATTAAAATGGTAAAAGTTACATGATCAGGTGGGTGCCTATCAGACATACCCTTCACCAACTCCAGTGCTTCACTCATTCTTCCTAACTTGCATAACCCATCAATTAATGTGTTGAAAGTAAGAGTAGATGCAATTCTCTTCTCTACCATTTCATGGAATAATGACAATGCCTTCTCCGTCTCTCCTGCCCTGCAGCATCCATGAAGAAGAGCATTGTATACAAAGGCATCCGGTTGAACACCCTGTGAAGGCATTTCATCCGATAAGCGAAATGCCTCATTTAGATCACCAGTTTTGCAGTAACCATCAATGATTGTGGAATAAGTCACAGCATTTGGTGCCAAACCCTTTCCAGAGATACCATCAAACACTTCCCTAGCTCTTGAAAGGTCACCGGACTTGCAAAGACCACCTATTAAGGCATTATAAGTGACGATGCTTGGCCTAACACCCTTCTGACACATTTCATCAAGTAGTAGAAAAGCCTCTTCCGAATTACCCTGCTTGCAGAAACCAGAAATTAGTGAGGTGTAAGTGAACACATCAGGAACTAGACCCTTGTTATAAAGCTCAGATAAAACACTCCTGGCATCTGACAATTTTCCATTCTTTGCGAGAGCATTGATAAGAATACCATAAAGCTGAACATTTGGCAGTCGTCCTATTTCAAGCATGCGATTCAGTACTGAAAATGCTTGCGCTATATTCCCATATTTGCAGTACCCATCAATAATAGATGTAAAAGTGGCATAATTAGGTGCTACACCACGATCTAGCATCTCCCAGAAGTACTGTTCTGCAACTTGCATATTCCCTGCCTCTCTATACCAAGAAATAAAAGCCGCAAAAGTATATGAATTCGGCCTCAATTTTCTCCTCTCCATTTCAACAAGACACATTCTCGCTTCATCTATCCTTCCCACCTTGCAGAGCCCAGTAATAATTGTATTATAACATAAAATATCAGGCAAGATACCTTTCTGCCACATATCCTGCACAATTTTTTTTGCTTCGTCAAACTTACCATCCTCTACATAGCCTTTTATAATGGGGGTATAGATGATAGCATTTGGTCTCGCCCCAGCTGCAATCATCTTCTCCAAAACAAGAATCGCTTGACAGAGATCTCCAGAGTTGCATAAAGCATTAATCAGCACACCACAAGTATAGGCGGAAGGTACCAAATTTCTGTCAGTCATCTCAACCAAAATCAGTTTTGCCTCCCTGGACCTCTTTTTCTTACAGAATCCATCAATAAGTGTGCTGTAGGTATAGATATCTGGAACCAATCCCTTTGCTTCCATTGACTCCTTTAGCTCCAATGCTTCGTCAACTGTACCAGTCCCACACAAGCCTCTGATAACCACATTGTATGTAACCAAATTTGGACTGCACCCCTTCTCTTCCATAACACGAAGAAGTCTTTTGGCGTCCTTAACATTACAAACCTTGCAATAAGCATTAATCACA